CAGTGCATTGAAACAATGAATGCTTGTCTGGTACGACGAACTAAAATAAGTCACTGATACTATACGAGCAAATATTTACTGAAAACACAGATGAGTGTGAACATCATTTACCAAGTTTAGCAGCCACAGCAGTATTGTGCGCTTGTTCGTTGAAGATCGGTATCAGAAGCGTTGGAGTTTTTCCACATATTGTCTCTTTCAAACTGAATTCATGAGATTTCAAACTGAATTCATGAGATTTCAAACTGAATTCATAATCGAACCATGAGGCTTCCTAGTTTGCAGGAACAGAATAATATCTGCGAGTCAATAGCGGCTATATGAAATGGTGAAATATGAATTGGATCGAGCTGATCGCCAAAAAATGCGAAATTGATAGTGATAATGACAGTCGTAACAAAACCGGCGATCTACTGATGATGATCTCAACAGGGATGACAAAATGCTCACAGTTACCTAGCTAATAACAGCTGCACAATAGTGACAGTATGAATTATCAATTTTATGATGGAGCAGCAACGGTAAAGGTGATGAAGAAATTGTGATAACCTCTTTAATCCTCCATGACCAATGAATAATACCGTTCGATTATCTCTTAATATATCATACTGAGGTGCCCATTTCATAATTTTGATATGTGGCGCTAAATCAACAAACATCTCTTTCACGTCGTCCACAAAAATGATCCTGAAAATGATCATTTCTAAATCTTTTGGTCATATGAATTTATAAATCCATTATGATCATATTCTCATTCCATCTGCAAACTTTTGACAATTACAGCTTATTGTGCGTTGAATTAGTTGAGAACTTGAAGTTCCTTTTTTAGAGGGTAACTTTGACAACGGATTAAATGAGCGATTGATCAACAGTTTCAAATTTTATCTCGTATTCTCAGTGAACATTTCAGTGACAAATCAAACTGCATGATAGCATTCACCTATATTCCTTCAACTTGAGCATCGCCTCTTTGAAGGCTTGAATTACATAGGATGGTGCATATGCCCACTTGACATTTGTTCCAAACGCTATATAAATGGTTCCTTTCGATTTAGGATCACTGACAAATTCTTCGATATCATCGCTGAGTGCTTTGGATGGCGAGCAGTGCGCACCGATATTGACGATTTCGTTGGAAACTAAAAATTTTCAAAGGATAACAATGCAAATTGCTTTTGATGCAGCTGATAATCAAGCTATTGTTGTTATTGTATCGGAAAATTTAAGGATCGAAAATGTCGGTAGCCTCTTCACAAAGTGGCAGAATTCATCGAATTGCTTTTATTTTCTCACTTCTTCAAGGTGACAGCCC